CTTCCTTCCTTCCTTCCTTCCTTCCTTCCTTCCTTCCTTCCTTCCTTCCTTCCTTCCTTCCTTCCTTCCTTCCTTCCGAGCTGCCACATTTTCAGCATTTATTTTTCTAGGAAACACCTATCCATGATTTATTTTCTGACAGCAGTGTCATGCAAGTCAGTAGAACAACTGTGTCTGGCTGGAATAAGTCAAAGAGGAACCCATATAGACGTTTAGAGCAAAGAAAAGATTCCTCTCTGGGTGATTCCAACATGATACCAAGGTTGGATGACACAGCCACCAGAAAATAAGTCATGGCCGATTTGCAGCCCTATAGGAAGAGTCACTGTGCATGTTCATCTCTAAAGCACAGTTGGGGGTTGCATGTCCCACAGAAGCACCCCAGGCAGATTTTACCTGTAATATATTATACAGTTACCTTTAGCAGAACCTGAATGCATTGAGCAGAGTTGGAGCAGATGACCTCCGAGATCTCTTTCAACACCCTGGTTCTATGACTCTGTTGAAGGCTTACATATTTATATCCATCCCTGATGTAAATCAAAAGCATTGTTAATCTGAGACAGCAAGGAGGGTACAACCATGATCGAAAGGACTTGTTCCAACTTTCAGAAAACTCTGCCCGGGAAAACTGCCTTACATTTTCAGAATTTGGCTTCGCTTGATGATAACATGTTTGTTTCAGAAGAGAGTATTTATTTCTCTACTGTAATTATATAAGGCTGATCAACAGCTTTCTCTGGACAGCTCAGAAACACAAAAATACTAAAATGCAATTAAAACAGAGTATAAAGATGCAATTACAGGGCAATATGACACTGCTATTAAACAACTTGCAATTTCAATATTTCCTGCAGAGAAAAAAAAATAAAATGAACAACCAAACCACTTCACAATAATTAAGCAGTATGCAGAGAGTCGGTTTGGTCTAAATGATGGGAGAGTCTCAGTAATTTTACCCACTGTGAAACTCTAGCAGAATAATGAAAATAGTTATTCGCTTTCCCTTTTGGCATTTGTCACTTTTGGATTGCATGCCTACTTAAAAATTCCAATTAAAAGGAGCAGATGCTGGACTGTTGGGGCAACAACACCTGGATTGCAAAAATCTGGGCTACCAATGGATGGCTGCAGTGTTTGGAGTCCTGCAGTCCAGATTTAGGACCAGTACAGCTGAAAGGTCAGAAAGTTTTTTGGGTGGTAACCTACAGATTTTCAAAACCAATCAGTGAATCAGGGAACATTTTTAAGTTTCCAGCTTGTTTCCTGCTCTGAATATTCCAACTAGGACAGGTTGCAAAACATGATCAAAAAGAGAGATTCTTAAGCGAAGCCATTCATGAACCTCCATGATGAGGCAGCAGTTCTTCAGCCCTTTGGTAAGCAAAACAGACAGCACTTGCTATTTAAAGCTGTTCCATTTTCCCTCTTGTAATAGTTTTGGGGAACCAGCAGAGGAGGAAAACCTTCCAACCAGAAACAGAGGTCCAAAACAGAAGGTGTCATCTCCACTTGGTTCTTTAAAAAAGCAAAAACTAAGTCTGCCATTCTGGGGAAGTCACATCCCACAGCTGCATCTGCAGACCCTCCTAACCCCACAGGCATCTGGATGGATGCTAGGAGAAATAAAAGATGGGACCAAGATGGGCTTTGGCCTGATCTAGCAAGGATATTCATAAGTTCTTATGAAGCCACCAGAACTTGCACTCAACTGAAGGGCATCCTTACAATTTTATCATGAACGGGCTTTCCTGTGATAATGTTCTGACTCTGTGGCTTAAACCTCCTTGTATTTTTCCTCAGCAGCTTCCAAACCAAGCTGAGAACATGTCAGAAGCTAAAACTCTTCTGAGGAACAAGGGTACCCAACGGTTTCGGAAATCTTTGCCTTCCTGTGAAGGGGGGAAGATGAGTCCTGAGCAGAAAGCACGCTACTTGGCCTTTGCCGATCCCAGTAAGCCAGACGTGAAGACCATGCTGGCCGCAGCTCTTATGAAAGAGAGGAAGGCCCTGGATGATCATCAAAGAGAGCTGGACGATAAAAACCTCATTGGGGTTCTCAAGGCCTCGGAAGCTCGGAACCGCCTTCGAAACACAAGGCTCCAGTACCAGAATTTGAGAGTGAGTGGCCTTGGGTCTTCTGCTTAGCGAGAGATGGAATCAAACCCTCCTAAGAAAGTGGGATCAAGGGTTGGTCCTAACCTGATCTGGGCCACTAGGCCATTTCGGGTCTTCCAGATATATGGTGAGGACAACTCCTTGGGTTCCCTGGGATGGTGATTATGGCCAACCCTGCAAGGGCTATGATTCAGAAAGTGGCAGGATGATGAGGACCGATCTTCTCAGTTTGTAGGACCTCTTTAAGGTGGACACTGTACATGTCCAGGGTTCTTATGCAACCTGGAAACCAAATGGTTCATATAATTTGTTGATATGCCTGGGAGTCCAAAAGTGTCTGAGCCAGAATGAGGAAGGATGCTCAGCTCACAAGTTCACATTTGAATGCAAAAAGATCTAATTTGGCAATGATGAAGTGATACACGGGTTGAAACTTACTTTTCCCTCAAAATTTGCAGTTCTGAACAGTTTGCAATGCAGTAGTAAATATGGAAAGAAAAGGTCTGCATAAAAATAGGGGGTTTACCTGCAGAACGGCAAGGATGATATGCTTGGAGAAATTTGCATCCAACATCAGACACCCTTTAATGTGCTTTTAAAAAATCAGATTCAGTGAACTGAACTGGACAGATCTGCGGAAAATAAGAAATTGGGCAGAATGACAAATTCCTTAAAATAGGGAACAGAGGAAATCAAATCTGATAGACTTGCAAATTGCCACCCCTAATCTGATGACTGTATCCAGTTCCGGGTGGTTCACTTTTAATCACTTGTTAGATTCATTTTCACCCTGCATTCTCTCAATGTGTTAGATTACAATACCCATTGCACCAGTAGATGATGGGAATTACAGTCAAAACCAATACATGTAGAAGGCACCAGGTTGGAAAAGTAAGGGAGAAAAAGTGTAAATGGGTTTTTGGGAACCTACAGAAACATTGCTTTGCAGATAACTTAAAAGAATCGAGTTCCAGGATGGTTAGCCTAGACAAAATTGAGGGTGGAGGTGTGGAAGGGGACTGCATTCCTGAAATAATTAAGGATTGTCTCATTGGAGAAGACAAACATTAGACTAGATCTAATGGGAGCAAGCTACAGGAAGGGAGATTTTCAACTGAAGTTTAGAAGTTCTTGATAGTAAGAGAACTTTGCTGAATTCATTATATGTCCGTTGACATTGAGGAGAATATTTGTATCTCAGCAAAACAAACAAAAAAGTGATATGTATGTAATTCAATTACTTGGTAGGATGATGCTTCTCCTTACCTAAAGGTGTTCAAGAAGAAGATGAGCAGGCAGGTGTTGGAAATGTCCTTCAGGATACAGGAAGGAGCACCAATGCCCCCGGAGGGCCCTTCCAATTCTCAGCGTGATGATTTCCACTAATCTAGTTTAACAGGCTTCCTCCAATGTGCTGGGCCTCAATTCCCACAACCCCAGACAGCTTGTCATTGCAAAACCAATTCTGGGATTTTTTCAGTAGGGCAAAGGAATTGAGAAATTGTATAAGTCCATGCAATGTTATTGCTGGCATTACTTATAATACTCGAAATTGTGGGGAGGGTGAAAGCTGTAATTCCATTCTGATCTCCTTTCTCCTTCTTCGTGCATAATGGCACGAGCAGCGCATATTTCTTCTCTCGGTCTTTTATCACTGGTTATACTTATGTGCCATCTTGGGTTCACAACCTGGTCTGGCTTCCTCCTTTCTCTACTGCAAAGGAACTTAATCTTAAGTTTCATAAGCAAAGAGTCTTAAAAGACATCTATCCAAATGGTCAATTCAAATCACCTTATTTTTTAAAAAGGCTTTGTCTGGACAGTGACTGCAAAGGGGAAAAGTTCCTCGCCTTTCACGCTAATCCAGATCAGTTTGTTGGAGAAAAAAACAAGTCACAAAGGGCAGAGATGTCCCCCCACCTCACCCCAGATAGTCACGCAAAATACAGTCCTCAAGGTACAAAGGGAGGGTTTCCAACTCTGCCTTATCAGAATGCTAATGGGGAAAAATGTGCACATCCCAGGGCAGAGTTTCTCAACCTTGGCAACTTTAAGATGAGTGGACTTCAACTCCCAGAATTCCCCAGCCAGCCATGCTGGCTTTGCACAACAATTCTGGGAGTTGAAATCCACTCATCTTAAAGTTGCCAAGGTTGAGAAACACTGTCAAGTGTCTGTTGCTCCCATTAGCCAGGTTGACACAACATGCTTCCCCATCTAATGGCTACATCTGCATAATACTCTATGCTTGATTGGTTTTAAGCTTAGTATTTTATTTTCCTTGATCATGGCTTGCATGTAGCGGAGACCCAGCTAGCACAGTGAGCGTGTAGAGCCGCAAACCTCAAAAGTGGGTTAATTCAGCCATTTGTTTGCCTCTTAGATTTCCATCCAGGGTGTATTTTCTTGGGAACGCAGGAAACGCTCAGGAATCTACTTTAGGCATCTTATTTTTAAAGAAGTGTGTCCATCACTGTGCTGTTAGTGACACCTTGGCCTATTTTGCTTTTCCTGGCTTGATCAGAGCAGGAAGGAGCAACTGCATGCAAACCTCCCACCCACCCCCTTTTTGCAGCCCCCAAAATGTCCTTCCCAAGATCATGCCCTCAATTCAATCATGGGACTTCCATGGGTTTGCAAATGAAATAGACACGTTGAACTACAGTGCCTATTTTTCCCAAAGAGCATGGCTGTGAAGATGACTGGATGAAAGCCAGCAGTTTTCTGGCATGAGTTGTTTTAGTGTCCTTCTAGCTATGCCTTTTGCTTACTAGAAGTGACGGATTCTAGTAGTCTTTAGATGCAAACTTTGGGGCACTTTTGTTCTTGATGAAATCATTTCAGTGGCATCTGCTTTCTCCAAAGGTAATTCGTTTAAGGGTCAGACGGCCATCAAAGGAATATGGCTGCCATATCCTGGGACTACTGGTTCCTACACAAGTGGGCAATCTTGTCCATATTTTAGGCCAATCCAAGAAGCAAACATTTTAACGGTTCGGCTGAACCCAGCCAACCTGCTTGGGGCTATAACTTTGGAAGTCTACAAGCTTCTAGCCAAGTTTGTCTGAACGATCCCTACAAGAAAGCTAATTCTAAAAAGTTGCTCATTTTAGGCCTGACTATCAAAAAGAAAATATTTAATCACCAAGCAAATGATATTAACACTTGGCTCTCACTCTAACGGTGGGTTTGTCGTCAGTGGCATGGCTCCAATCAACGTGCTATAGTTAGTCATCTTGGAACAGCCTTTGTGGTTACTACTGTCCAAACAAACTCTTCAGACCACTGAACATTGTTCTAGTCAATCTGCCTAAGACCATCTTGAGGGTTTTTAATTGGCATTAATGCATACTTGGCTTTTACTGGCTGCTCAGAGTAGCTTAATATATACCATTTTGCATCTTCCATGCAAAATAAACAGCTTTTAGTGGACTGTGATGTTATTGGAATTTAAAGACTGCAAGACTCTGACTGAAAGGCGTTAGTGGTCTCAAAGACTAGAGAAATTATTTGGGGATTAAGTTAATTGCAGGTAATTTGCCCCATTGCAACCGAAACACAATGTTAACTGATGGAACTCACTAAGGACTTCATAGGTGTCTGATCGAAGCCACAACAACATTGACTTGCACCATGATGTCTAAGATCATATCATGACACATACAGTGTTATTTGCCCTCAATCACTATGCAGACTATCCAGTGGTGGAGCAAATGCATGCTACAGGAGTAATCTTACAGATGTTTGGGAGCTACAAATGTCATGTCAACAAAAGAAGAATAAGATCAGTCCATCCTTATTTCTACTTTCCTTGACAGAGACCAGAAACATAAGCAGGGATATTGTAGAATCATAGAATTGCAGTACTGGATGGACCCATTTAGGACTTTAAATCCTATCCCCTGCTCAGTGAAGGAATTCAAATTAAAGCAACCCAGCCAAGAACTAGCCTCTGGCTGAACACATCAATAAAGGGGAGTCCATCACCTCTCCAGGTCATTGGTTCCATGGTTGAATTGCTCATCAATTAGGAAGTTTTGGAACTTCCTTCATGCAACTTGAACCCATTATTCCATCTTCCACATTCTTAGGATGAGGGGGAAGAGATTTTGACTCCCTTCTATGTATTATTGACACAGATCAGGGTGGGCAACTCAGAAATTACAAGCCACCTCCCAGCACCCCAACTGGGCTCCCAGAAGATCCCCAAAGTGTATGCAGCTAAAATAGCTCCTTTTAAAATTATGGGGAGAGGACTGGATAACTTTAGTCTTTTCTGATATCTCCTCTTGAATGATCAGACCAAAAGTCTATCTCCAATAAAAACTCAGATGAGTCCCACCTTCCAGAATGCAATGAAAAAAGAAGCTTATGAAATCAGGTCAAGGATCCATCAAGGGTCATCCATCCAAAGGGCTCACAAGCCAGGACAGGAGAGAGAGAGATGACCTTCCACTGTCACTCCAGCAGCAGGAAGTGAGAGCCAGTTGGTGTAGTGGTTAAGGGCACCAGGGTAGAAAGCAGGAGATGGGGAGGTCTAGTCTTGCCTTAGGCAAGGAAGGCAGCTGGGTGACTTTGGCCCAGTCCCTCTCTCTCAGCCCAAGAGCCAGGGTGGTTCAGAGGTGAAGATGCTGGTCTAAGAGTGGGGAGACCCAGGTTCTGGTTCCCTCTGAGCCATTGGAACTCCTATGGGGGCCTTGGGTCAGTCCCTCTCTCTCAGCAATGACAAACCACTTGTGAACAATGTTGCCAAGTAAAATATGGGGACTTGTCCATGTAGGCACCAGGAGCCAAAACTGATCTGAAGGCATAACAAATAAAAATCAAGGAGGTAGCCAGCAACCCTCATAACCTAGCAGCCATTGATAGCCTGATCCTCCATGTCTTTTCCCTTATGAAGCTCTCTAGATCGGTGGCCACCATCACATCAGAGAGCACCAAATTCCTCAGTTTACTAGTGGGTCCATTCAGACAACAACCTGGTTACAATGTTTGCAAGATTCTGAACCTTAAGCTAACCAAACAGGCTGGCTTTGCACAACAATTCTGGGAGTTGAAATCCACTCATCCACCCAAAACAAGAACCATCCAAGACAGAAACTGAGCAAGCTTCACATTTTTTGCAATGTGTAGCCATTAGGTCTTTAACTGCCTGGATTAAGCTGGAATGTAACTTACATGTTGCATAAAGAAATCCATCTTTTCATCCATCATGTATCTCCCTTCATTTAGTTTTAGCAGGGGTGTCTGCAGAGGGGAGGGAAAATGTCAAGATGGTTGTGACACACATAAAAAAGGGATGGAATATCGATCACATGATTATGACTACCATCTTGACCCCCTCCCTGCAGACACCCTGAGTTTAAGTGAATCACCCTGAGTTCTAACCCTGTGAGAGACAGAGAAGAATCCGCCCCTATTCTCCCTGGTTAGACTGGTAGTGTTGCACACCAACCAGGCGTTTACCCTGGGGCAGAAGATGCTATGTTCACAAGCCCTGCTATTTTCAATTACAGAGTACTGTATCAGTGAGGGAGGTCAGGAGAGATGTTTGCCATTTGGGTGACCAAGAGGGAAGAATGACTAATGGGCTGCGTCACTTGTATGAAGTTTCTCATCTAAGCTCATCTTTGCTTCTTCTGGCTCCAGGCACAAGAGATCAACTTCTTGATCTCCTTCCAGAGGAACGCAAAAGGCGCAGTGAGATTAGAAGTCTTCCTCCCACCCAGGAAGAACATTGCAAAATTATCTGACTGCATGAACACCATTCAGGTAAATGTTGGGGATAGAAACTTCCTGGTAAAGCCTTCCCCACTAGGCCTCCTTTGAGTGTTCTGGGTACTGAACACACACACAAACCATCACACTCTCCCTTTTCAGGGTAAGCAACAATATGCAGAGCACAGAAAGAGAGTACAACATAGTAAATAAAGGAAATTAGAGGCAGGAAATAAGAGAAGAGGACGTCTATATGATCACCAGTTACTCTACCTCCCTTTCTATCCTGTCAAACCATCTTGTTTCTACCACATCCACACACCGTTTCACACATTCCTTTTGTTCTTTAAACTTCTCATCTCTTTCTTTTTGAAGGACTTATCAACTCTGTTCATCCATAACTTTCCATCTTCCCCTCCTCTCAGTCCATTCACTCTTCCTTCCTATATTTAAGATGCAATCCTCATTCATTCTCTAGGATCAAACCATCTCAAGGTGGTTCTTCTTTGCACTGAGTCCACACTCCTTCAGCACCCATTCACACCTCACCTCCTTTCTTATTTTACCACATATACTTCTCAAGTATCCCATTTCCACTACGCTCACAATACTTTAAATTTCTCCTGACATACCTGACTTCCATACACACAGCCATTTTCACTTCTTTCAACTAACATTCATTCTTCCCAACACCATTCACTATAACTCTCATATCTTTCTACCCAGGCCAACCATCCTTGTTTCTACCACATTCATATACCACTTCACATACTGCCTTTTCTTCTTTAAACTTCCCACTTTCTTCCTTGGAAGATCTCCTTAATTCCATCCAGTCATGACTTTCTCAGCCTTCCCTTTCCTCTTGACCCATTCACTCTTCTTTCAAATATTTGTTTTACAGTTTGAACCTCATTCATTCTCTCTGTATGACCAAACCAAAGCTTTTGGAAGGAATACAGAATTTGCTTCTTATACGTGAAGGGTTCCTCACCTAATTCCTGAATTAACTCATTTTCTGAGCTCACATAATACCCTAAACTAGAAACTAACCAAACATGTTGGGTTTATACAACACAGTACTACCCAAAATTAAGACCCATGAAGCTCAGCCTGTTGTGCAAATGCAGCTTTTGGCTCTTACCTCCCCTCATTAAATGTGTTTGTGGCCTCAACTACAGTGTATTAATCAGCTGATCAAGATGTAGTAATTAATGGCAATCTCTGCTGAGGTCATGTATCTGAGAGTACAACAATACCCCACCCAAAACAGCTACTCAACCACCATAGTGGTGTATATAACCTTTACTACATTAGCTATTGCTGATACTTTCCAGATGTGATGAAGGTAAATTGAAAAGCAGCACATCTGGAGGGCACCTCGCTGAAGAAATCTAAATTAGACTGATGCAACAGTCTAACCGATCTAAATAAAAACAATGAAGTTCCTTTATATTTCCTCTTTCCTGAATATGTCCTTACAGTATATATATGTGGTAACTGCCTTCCTAAATATTTCTGTCCTTTTTACGGCCTTCGGAGGTCTTCATTTTTTCCTTATCTTTCTCTTTGTTTTTCAGCGGAGCCGGATTGAAGAGATACTGGAAGATGAAAGCGGTGAGATCTATATCCGGAGGCCATGAGCCCTCCTGTAGAACAAGAAAAAATAAGGGAAATAGGATATGGATAAAACCCAGAAAGAGTAAATTTACTCTGAAGGGCTGCAACGTAGCAAACCACCGCGATTTAATAAACTGTGGATAATCAGAGGCTACAAACCCAAGTTAGGGAATGTGCAGATCAATCTATTTTTAGTCTGCATCATTTTGGCTTGGGCACACCCAAAAATCTGTTGTTGTTTTTCTGCACTGATTCACTTGAAAAAAAAAAGTCTACATCATAGTCCACTTAATATTTCACATTTCACATGCACATTTTAAATGTGTCGTCTCTCGGAGCATGCATTTTTAAAATGGAATTGGAGTGTTTTTTTTAAAGCTGAGAGGTACAGCAGAATATCTTGAAAGTGTGAAAGCGGGGGAACTGATTCCAGTCTGCACATGATTCCAGAAGTTTTGTGGATTCTTGAGTATGGATCCCCTCATCACAGCTGGCCCTTTCAGGGAAAAAAAAAAAATGTATGGCATATTTACTAGAAAGTTTTGCATCAAATGGAGAGTGAGGTTTGGGAGAATGCTGAACTTGGGTTTAATCACAATCTCTGATGAGATTGGCACTTTTCAATTCTGCATCTTTAGTTCAGGCTTGGAAATCTTATTTTAGGTGAAGATGTCAACCTGTGCAGGTCTAACCAGGTCAGCCTAGGAAAATAACTCTCAGAACTTATCAGGAGGTTAAATATGGTCAGGGTCATCTGGCAGGGGGTGAGGGTCTCGGAAAAATCAAGATGGGAAATGCAACTGTGCAGTAAAAGCCCTGCCCCTTTTATGCAACACCTGTAAAAAGGGGTGGGGCCCTTGGTTCTACAGCCACCATCTTGACTTTTTTGACACACGCAAACACAGAAGCCCTTGGCTGTGATGCAACCCTGTTTGTCGGAAATCTACTAAACGAGCAGCCAGCCGATGTGCTTAAAGAGACAGATCCCCTTTTGGCCCCAAATTGTGTTTCATCAGATCTCCTGGAATTGTAAGTGTGACAGCTAGAGAAAAAAAAATAGTTTGCATTTACTGTGTTGTGTTCCTCGGCACCTCTGGATTTCTGCAAGCATGTTATGGGCACTGTCACAAAGTGGGTGCCGTGAACGACCGAACCAGTCACAACACACCTTTGTACCAGAAGGCAAATGGGTGAGGTTGCTTCAAACTTGCAAGAATGCTCTTTAAACGCTCACTTAAAATTGCCGCGGGTTCTGGCTTGGCTTTGCAGAGCGCAATAAACAAATAAATGAATCCAATGTGCAAGTTCTTCCCTCCCCCAAATTTCACAGAGCTTTAGACGTAGCCAAACTGGCCTTTTGTTCAAATGCAGGCGCAGGAACATCTGTGATGATGTCACAGGCAGGAGAGCTGGTTGCCTGATTTTGGGCCAGATGCTGTCTCTCAACCCAACCCACCTTACAAGGTTGGTGTTGCAGGAAAAGTAGGAGGCAGGTGCGTATGCCACCTTGAGTTGGCCTAAAATAAAGGTGGGAGGTAGACCAGCCCAGGAAATCATCTCCACAGGAAGGCTAAAGCTACTTTTATTGAGGTGGGCTGTATTAACAGAATCTTGCATGTCTGATTGTGCTGTTCCTCCTCCACTGACTTATACTCCAGTGAATCAGGGCGGCGTCTGTCTGAGCCTCTTCTGAATGTTATCTGGACATTCCAGGCTTAAAAAATGGTTCAGCCCCTTTTGCCTAGTAGCGGTTCCTGCACATCTCCATCAAGCTGATCTTTCTGACTCACTGCAGATAAAAATCTAATAAAATAAATAAAAGCATAATGTGCCACAGCGTCCTTGTGCCAATGATGCCAAGGACCTAGTTGATGTCATTGGGGCAATGACTTCATGGGACACGCCACATCCCTTGCACCCCGTCTGCCAGAGATGCTATGTGATCATGGTCACGGGGGACCAAAAAACCCCCAAAATGAATGGGTTAGGAACTGGCCACAAATAGCTCAATGAAATTGAAAACGTCAACCTCGTTATACAGTTGTGCAACATCTTTAAAGAAAATGCTGAATTCCGTGCTAGGGATCAGCAGGGCAAATGCACCCTATAACTGATTTCGCCATCAGTTTATTCCAGCCCCTTTAACATTTTCATTTTCCAAAAAGACCTGTTGCAGGAGTGTCCACAGGGTATGGTCTAAAGCAGTATTGTCCAAACTTGGCCACTTTAAGATGAGTGGACTTCAACCCCCCCCACATTCCCCCCCCACCCCCACGGGCCCGTGGG